CATCGAGTCATTGCACAACTTCAATCATTGTACAGAATATAGGAAAGAACAGCGAGGTTGATTTTTGCAGTTCGTCTGCAAAGATCAAGTTCGTGTGTTCGATCCTAGCTTCGTGCAAGGATTGATTCTGTGTTTTGATAAGTTTACGTTTCAGAATGATATAATGGGAATTTATATTCTCGATTTCATTCTGGTTCAAGATTACAGGCTTAAACCAACCAACTACTTATGTAAAGTGTAAAATGAAGTTGTAGTGGGATCCTCTTTAATGTGGAGGCCTGAGAATAACAACCATCAAGAAAAAAACAGACTTTAATTTTCAGATAGGTTGACCCGGTGCGTATCTAATTTCGAAGAGCATAGGATATTTCTTATTTGATATCGCTCTATTAATTCGAGAAAGCAATCATCTATTGTAGACTTGACCGATCAATAATCAGACTATGACTGTTTTACATCCGAAAGATGTGACAGAAGACCTATACGTCTGTGTATAAGTATGTTTTTCATCATTTTTTACGGGAAGTACATGATGAGAAATTTGTAGGAAAGAAACAATAGAAAATTTAGACTAACCTGCATTACAATGTACATAAACTCTATGTTTGTTCACCAATAAATTTTTTAATACTAAAACCGCTTGCGGAAATGTTAATAATCGTCCAATTGTTGACATATCAACTGTTGGCAACCATGTAAAAATAATTTGATGCTGATCATAAACTAATTTTAATTCATGAACACTTGATACATCATATGCTTTATCTTGAATTACTACTGTTTTTAAGGTACCTAATGGTTGCGGTTGTCGATGAGCTATTATTTGTTTACAATTGTTTTCAATATCACTTATTACTTGAAGATTTACAACAGCTGTTATGTTTAATTGATTTTTCATATATTCAATATGTTCAATTAATCTTGGACAACTACCAACATATAGATTATCGTTAACTTTCGAATGATGTAAAACTAATTTATCAACTATTTCGTTATAAAATCTTGTTGTATGACTTTTTTCATTTTGTTCACATAGAATAAAAACGATTACGTTCAATTTGCTGTATGTCTTTATAGTTAGCATAAAATAAAAGTTCGTTCAAAACTAATTAACATCTGGTAAGGTAAAAAAATAAATAAAGATCTGAGCAATTAAGATATGTTTTTGATTATTGAAATCTCAATCTCAAAAAAAAGTCACAATTCTCTAGGTTAAAACAAAAAATTAAAGGAAAGTATCAGAAGAAAACAAAACTCCTTAGTCGAGTATACCATAAAAAAGCGTAGGCAGAAGTAGGTGAAAAAATACGCTTTTATCCTCTTAAAAACTCTAGGGCAAACATATCGTTGAAACTTCGACTGATGCCTCAAGCAAGAGTATATCATTGATATATCAGATATAAGTTTAAATTTAAAAACGACTATGGAGAATTCAAAATTTTTTTTCGTCATTTAAACGTTCATGTCTTATGGTCTAAAGGTCAAGGGAGGAAAAGCACCGCCTCATTTCGTATAGGGAGCACCACAATCAACGCCTTCGAAAGTTGATGTCGCTGTCGCCGAACGACACGCTGTCGATAGTGCCGCCATCTCTTTACTAGTTCACTTCATGGACACTTCAAAATCACTTTCACTTCCGTTCCAGTGGGGAAGTAGTGGTTTTACCCCGTTGTCAAAGACTGATGAGAAAAATGTTATGATCTTCACCTTCGGTTAGATCATATCATCACTTCTCCTATTCTTCTTATAAAATACATATATATGCTTTGTGCGTTATTCTCTATGTTCTGGGATTTTCCCCATATGTAACTTTCTCTAT